ATAAAAAAGGAACAGTCAAGTTTTTATGATAAAAAAGATGGACCTTTAACGAGAAAGAGGTCGATCGCGAGGAAGGATACTTTCTAAGTGTACTGTAGTACACTTTATTGTATGTATACAATCCTTAGTTCCTTAGTTTTATATATTTTTATCTTCTTTCCGTGACTTGTATTGCAAGCAAGTTGAAATAAACATCAATGTATTCTATTTCATTCTGAATTCCATTCTATTTCCTTCCGATTTTCGTTCTTGTGCCGGTTGAGAATTAATTTATCTAGATAAATCTACGAGATTAAGTAATTTAGTTTATTTTTTCAACGACAAAATTAATGTTTATCTGATTTTAACGTAGCATTTCTGCATAATGCATTAAACGCACTTTTCAAGTGCTAAATGCATTTCGCATGTGAAATTATAAAACTGGGGCTTAGTATTGTTTATCATTCTTTTTCTGACATATCTTAATCGGGGATTCATGATTATTGTCATGTACTGTCCTTTTGATCCGACATGAGCTTTGGGCGTATTTTATGCGAGTATTGCATAAGCTGAACTTCACGCAAAAATGCATCCACTAAAGTATTGATCGATTATCTTTGATGTTTGTGTTCGATTTTATTACTTAAAGTCATTTTAAAGTTTGATCTCAGGTGATCTTAAAATTCCAATGAAATGATACATATCAGCATCTCGAAATCGTTATAAGACGAAGAACTTAACTAGAGATTGAGTATCGTATCGTATTTATGTTTAAAAAAAAAAAATCTAGAAGAGACAAGAGAAATTGAAAAAATTTTGCGACTTCAAAAATTCAAAATTACAATTTTTTTATTTTGCAAAAGAAACTTTATATTTTTTAATGTAAATTATAAAAATACTCAATATTTCTTAATCCTTGATACATTTTCTCGCGTCATTAAAAAAAAATAGAAGTTAATCGACTACGGTTCAAAAGGTTAAATATCTCGTTGGAAATAGAGCGAATTAAAGTATCAGCCAGACAAGTAGATATTGGAGGTGGTCAGCCGTTGCGTTTAAAATAATCGTCGAACGGCGATAGTTGCAACGCCTGGCTGGCCGGCTTTCATTTTCGATAAGCAATTTTTCAAAAAACGTGATAGCATTTTTCAAAAATATTTATATTTACGCGTGAAGCTCGTTTTCTGAGACTTTTAATAATGAAAAATTGTTATCTATTATAAATCGGCGCTCAGTCAACTACATCGAGGCGCACAAACTTGCTACTTTGTTTCACTGTAGTCAAGATGATACTCGACGGGATGGAAAACTCATGAATGAAGATAAAAGAATAACAATCTTTCGTCCTTGACACTTCTGGTCAGTCCAAGAGGAATGAATAAAAAGGTCTAGGTGATGATTCTCGCTCCTTGCTTTCTAGCAATTATCGCGACCGACAAATGGATTACGATGAGAAACCGCGTATCTCTAGATATCTTCGTATCCAATATATCTTTTCGACCTAAATTGCGAGATATCTATCCGCGACAGGAAATCCGCTAAAACGCGTGCATATTTCTCCTAATTTGGAATCTGTTGTAGAAATTAATCGATCGGTTAACTTGAAAAAAGTAGAAAAGAAAGTGATATTAACGCGAAATAATAGTCTCGCATGTTCCTCAATTCTACTTCAATTATACTTCAAATGGAGCACGCTTATATATTATTTAACTTATTCTTTCAATTAATCAAATTACAGATCTCATTATACAGATGTTTCCATATATAATTGAGATTCCTATCATTGTCTGTTTCATTCTTTTACTTTTTATGCAATGCAAGGCTGCATTACACTTTTAGATCGATACGAATATAATAAATAATTTCCCTTCTCAGAATTCAATGGCTGAAATTACACGCACGGTTGCGCAGAGAAAAGATTTTCTCTGTTAAAAATTCTATCGCAGGATCTCTCGAGGTAGAAGTAGAAATTGCAGATGTGGCGTGCGGAGCGTGTCTTCTGTAAGGCTGTAATGCGTAGCACGTGTACGAATGAAAGCGAGAGAGTTTCCCGCGACGCCTCGGGAAACGCCGGATTCAATCAACGATTCGACAAACAAGGCTAAGTGAATCGAGCGTAAAACGAGGAAGTGATCTTCGTGATGTTCCTTACGTTTTTTATAAGTATATACTGAGAGAAAGAGGGTTTTGACATTTGTGACTGTAGTTACATGTTACTATAATTATGATTATTACTGCTATAATAATAGTAATATTAACTAGTTTTATCAATACATATAGCTAGCATGATTATTATAGTTATTATCATAAAACTGATCAAAATTGCTATTTATATGGCAAAATATTTAATTATAATTTATAATAATTGCAATCATTTTTTATAATAATAATAAAGTCGTGTTCAACATAAATTTTGCTATCGTAATGTCACAATATCTACAATATTACAAATCATTGACTATTTATATTTTTTCGGAAGATTTTTACGTTTCAAACATGTACATATATATATATATATATATAAATAACATGCTATTATAAATACCAAAAATTTTTCTCTGTGCAGTCAGAATGAGTTCGCGTCTTTAATGTAAATTCTTATCAACAATTTATCGAATTGGTTGAATATATTACAAAATAGATGATTAGATAATTCGATTCTTTATACAGTTTTAACTCGCACACTTGACATTTCGTGTTATCTAAAATCTGCAAAAATCGACTCTAAAACCGCATATTTTTATTGCACAACGAAAAGAAATTGCAGAAATCATAGATTGAAAGTAAAAAATCGCAACGATCAGATCACGATTATGTTAATTAAGACATGATATTTAAGATATCCAGAGTTACTAAGTTATGTTAAAGTGAGAGCGATATTTAAAAAGAACGATAATTAATTTGTAGAGATAATATTTTAGAAATATCTTGTAAAAAGGACATATTTTTAATATACGTATACGTATATCAAATCTAAATTCGCTTCATTTATAATCGTTAATAATTCCGGTTTGAAAGTCGACTGCGGCCGTGCGTTTTCACTAAAGACAAGTGTTCACGATGTTGCAAACATAGACGGCGTCTCTCAACAGAGATCGATCCGTTTTTTAATCGGCTCGAGCGAAAACTCCATGGAACGTGAGTTCGCAACGGATCGCTACGTGTTATCATCCACCTATTCCTACAGTAATTGCAGCAACAAATGACACGCCGCGGCGAGTTTCTCGCGGCAGTCGATTTCCTCGCTCTGTGCTGGAAAAAGACGGGCGTTTCTACTGCGGAAAATTGGCGCGCCGTGAGTACCGAGAACACGGTGTGCCATACAATGGCACGTTAATTTGCAACTTTCTTTAATCGTTCGGCCTTTTTTCAGAGGCGCCTTAAGCCGACTCAACTCGTCGCTACGCGGCAATTACGCAGCGATTATCATTCGCGGAGTATACATTATTCTCGTTGCATTCTTGCTTGTCGAATATTGATTAAGGTTTAATTCTGTGCTGTTGATTTTCCACGAGAAAGTATATTGAAATCAAAATTAATGATAATTAATTCTAATATCTGCTTCAAATGATAGTCTTGACGTATAATGAAATAATAATTAAAATTGTTGCCATTGTACTATTATTTCTGGAAAGATATCATTGTGTTAACACAGATAAGAATGGATCCTATCAGATTTATCAGTGGAATTTCTCTTCTAAACAATTTATATATATTTTATATATATATCTATATTGCATATTATGGAAAGGATAGTATTGTTCAAGTATCTAAAAATGGTTTCGCAAAATGATTTCGGTTTTTTTTACTCTCTATATTTAATTTTTTAAAATAATTTTACTATGCTAATTTTTAATTTAATCGTTACTCGTTTATTAAACAATAGGCATAATACATTAACGCATTACATCAATCTTATACACGGAAAGAACGATTTTTTGCTCGAGTATCCAAAAATTTAGCTAGACACAGATCTGAAAACAATTTTTTATTGGACTATCGTAATAATTATGTGAGACGCTCAAGCTGGATGTTAAAATGTCAAAACTTTTTGCAGCATTGTTCATCATGCTTGAAATTGCTACGTAATTATTTTGATAGCAAAATTATTAACTAACAAAATTATTTTCAGATTTGTATCTAGCTGAAATTTTAGACGCTCAAGCAAAAAATCGTTCTTTCCTTGTATAAGATTGATATAATACATCAATGTATTACACCTATTATTTAATAAAAGCATAAACAATTTGACGATTAAATTAATAATTAGCATAGTGAAATTACTTTAAAAAATTGAATATATAGAGAGTAACAAAAAACCGAAATCATTTTGCGTGTACGGAACAAATAGAGCAAACGAAGAGTAAATAAGCGGAAGGAAAATGAGATGTTAATTTAATGTTAATTTAAGTTTAGGTGTACGATTATAGGAGACCTTTATATATATGCAAGCATATATTTGTATAGTGAAAGCTAGTATCTTTCGAATCGGGCAAAAATATCGGAGAAACTGGTTGAAATGAGTTTACGCATATAGGCGGTGCAATGGTCGCGCATAATGTTGCATATGCAACCCGTTATTACATAATATCGGCCCGCGACACTTAACTAAAAATATAAATTCCCAAGAAAGGTAAAAAAAGAAGAAAAAGTTAGTTGCCAGTTCATATTTGATTGACAAGCGATCGATCTCGTAGTCGCGAACAAAACGATTCGATTTTCTTACTTCCTCTTAATTCTCGCGGAACTTTCACTTCTTCTTCTTCTTTTTTTAATCCTTCCAAAATTAGACTATTTGTATCTAATTGCACCGAAAATAATTCGCGAAACACCTGCTGGTAAATGAAAAACTTTCAGAACGCGGCTGGTCGAAAGAATGATAATTTCGGAGTTTCGATAATTATCGAGTCGAATAAAACCGGTTGGACCGCATTTTGTTAAATCCACCGGCTTTTCCCACTCGATACATTTATAATTCATTATCTTAGAAGAATAGATAAGAAATGCGAGAAATGACCAACTTGTAGCTCACGTCTGCCGGCCAACGGTTGTCCTCGCGATCGGTCCTCGATCTCTGTCACTTTCGACGATCCTTGCCAGTGGGTCTCTCTTTTTCTCTAAGCCAGGCGTTAATATCACTTCAGGAGGATCTAGCGGTACCCGCGGACACGCGTGTCTTCGCGCATGTTAACGCACGCGGACGGTCGCACGCGCCGAGAGTCATGCTGTCCTGAGAAGACGCGAGTCTCTCATTGTCAGGCGGGACGCCGATGATGATCGATCATCGATTCCACCGCCGTCACCGTGGATAATATCCACCGAAAAATCGATGAACGACGCACAACGAAACAGGCACTTTCTCCCGCCGGCTGCACACCACGCACTTCGCGCCGCAAAATCGGCGGCTTCCTCACGGCGAAGTCGCAAATCGCTCGGTCGTCGTGAAAACGCACAATGCGTTTTTTTTCCGCGCGAGAAATTCTACGCGAAAAGTAAATTCTACTACGTAAATTCAATTATTATGTAAATTATCGCGGTAATAAAATGCCGGAAGGATCAGCTCTCCGGCTTGCCTTCGCGTTCCTAGAAATAGTTAATGATTTTGATAATAAAAAGGAAAACTTCTTTCCTCTTTCCTTTTTATTGTAGCGATCGTTTAACGATACGATATTTTTATAAATTTTTTATTCTTACATCGCCAAACGAGCTGATCACTCGCGTCTTGATTTAATTTCTTCCGAATTTTATTATAAATTATTATATGACCTAAAGGGACGTTTTTATCGTGCTAAAATTTCGGAGCACACAGTCGAATCTCTTTCTTTTTCTTTCTTTTTTTTGCACCGATCACACGTCAGGATCCAAGTCACTGTGTGCTCGAACCGATAGACGATCCTGGATTATCGTCGGACTCGGTCAACTTCACTCCATGGAAGCGATCGTCAGACTGAAGTCGTCGTACCGCTGGTAAGAGTACGTGCATGGGTTTCTTATCCCTTCTGTTAGCACGAGAAGTCCCCTCTTTCTCTTTTTCTTTCGTTCATCCCAGCCTTCTCTCGTTCCGGTATCACTATCCTGCTTAAAGTCAAATCTATCGGACAAATTGGTAATTTTTGGGAATTGCGTGTGTACAATTCTCTATTCGTTCAAAAAAAAAACTAAACTTCCTGATAAAAAAATCAGAAAAAAATGAATCATTTTTAGAAGATTTTTTTACTCGCAAAAGTGTTAATTTGCAATGCAAAAAAATTAATACTCTTTTTGGATTTTATACTCACTTTTGAATGTTTTATTTGACTTCATGTTTAGTTTGATTCACTTTGCTTTTCTACTTTCTTTTCGGCTTTGCTGGTGAATGTTATTCGAGATTAAGCAAATTTTATTTCACTCACCGAATCTTCCTCTCCTGCTATTTTTATTTTTTCAATCCTTTTTCTGAGAATAATTATTTTATTAATTTTCTCTGCATCGCTTACTGTTCATTTCATACCTTTAATTATTTTTTATCAGTGACAATATCCTGAACACCTGCTTTGCTTCAATCATTCCGATCGATTTACTTGAGAAGAAAAATTTGGCTGAAATATCTAAAAATCTATGTAAATACAAATCTAGAAATACAATCTATAGAAAATAATTTTATTAGACTATCAAAATAATTAGAATATTCAAACTGGTTGCTAAAATGTCATATTTTTTGCAGCATTGCTCATCATGTTTGAGTGTTTTCTTCATAATTTGATAGTTCAATAAAATTATTTTCAAATTTGTATTCAGTTAAATTTTTAGATACTTCAGCAAAATTATTCTTTCCGTGTAATATTAATTCCGATAATTTCAAACGCATAAAACCCGAACTATCTTATAATCTTTCAGGACATATATACGTGTACTGCTATTTTGTCTTCCATAATACCTTTATCCTCCTTTCTACGTTCTTGCAATTATTCTTAATCTTTAATATCTTCCTATTTCTTTCGGAAACAATTTATTGTGTCTTCAATTTTTAAAACTTCATCTTTTCAATTCCTAATCGCTTTTTGTTTTCTCCCTTTCGTCCTATTTCTTTTCTCTCTAAGCTTTTTGAATGTGTATTTCAGACAATTGTGTCTTCTTCAATAGCACAATTATCTCTAAACATTATCTCTAAATGTCAGTTTCGATTGCACAGTATGCATGGCACCACAAAGTTATTATATGCATCAGACTCTGATTTGAATTCTGAAGGATTTAAAATTAGCTCCCTGATTGTGTTGATCGCAGATTTTACTTAACTGTAAAGCTAATAAATTATAATCTATAGTTAGTGACTGATCAGATCTCTTCTAACGCACTGCGTTTAAATCCAACAAAAATCCTTCTTATTTTTCGTCTTCAATTCTTTGATATTCTTTTCGACTTCATTTTAATCCCTCATTATTCATTTATTAAATCCACTAAAAATACAATAATTCACTAATAATTACATATATAGATAGGACGTGCGTTAATCAATTATTCAGTTATAGCCTCATCTATTGCGTATTTTAATGCTCTATATTGATAGTATATAGGTACTATTTCTTTTTTTGTATGTTGATTTATTAATATTTAATGTTATCCATTGCACTTAATACAGTTATAATTATTATTACTATTATTATTATATAAACAATTATTATTATTATTATTATTATATATTTATATTCTTATATATTTATATTCTTCTTATCTGATTATTTAAGTCTTCTTTTGTTCTACATTATTATATATTCTTTCTTGCATTCGAATGATCATCTTTTATTACACGTAGCAACAGCTTAGGCGTATGCATTTTCTTCACTTTCTTTATGCCTCTTATAAATAACTACTATCAAAATCAAATCTTGCACACGAACAATAAAGTTATTATTATTATTATCATCTGCCCGTTACACAACAGTGATTCTCACGCTTTTTTCACGAACGTTTCGTGCGCGCGTAACACAAAACATAAATCATAAATCGTCGTTTACGAGCCGCCACAGCACGGTAATAATTACTCTAACGAAAAAAGACGAAGCCGCCGCATTATATATGCCAATCTCGAGGGCAAAGTTCAGTTCACGGGGTCGACAGCGGAATATTAAAGTCATTTTCGATTCGACATTGCCGAAATTGCGCGCTCTCTGATGTCACTTTTGACGATCTTAATCACCGCCCCGTCAACGTTGAAGAGAAACGCGCGACCGAGTTGCAATTTCTCATTACTTTCGTTCAATCGTTTTTTTAATTTTATGATTGCTAAATAACATGTCTGAAATAACTCGTTTTTCCTTAAAAGGATCTTCGGATAACTATATGCCATGCGTCATTACAGTAATGTCTGTATAATGCTGGCTGAATTTTTGAGTAATGTTACATTTCATGAGAAATATTCGGTTCACGAGAAGAAGATAGTTTTCGGCAACGAGTATAATAATGACTGTGTGTGCGAATGTTTTAATATAACATAAAAAAGTATAATGAGAAAATATGCACGTGAACACATATTCGTTATACTTTATTATATTATATGGGAACCGCGTTGAGCATTGAAATTAACTGTGCTGCTTATGGGAATGGCTTGTAGCTGTACAGTGAAATGGAAGTGTAACAGACAGACAGACAGGCAGACAGACGGGAGTAAGAGGTCTGTAAGGAGCCGAGAATCAGTCGAGAAAAGTGCGAGGGAAAAGTGAGCTGGGCGACCTTCGCGACAATTCACTTACCTTCCGATCTCTTGAATCCAGCTTGTTCTTGCAGTCCAGTTTTTCGTGAATGCTCCTTTTATGTCTGGCTTATGGCGTGGGGAGTAATTTAAAAATAGCGTAATCATGTCTTATAATTGCAGATGAATAAATCTAATTTTAGACAATAATGTTTGCACAGTATTTCTTACCTATCCAAAATTCATAAAATAAAGATCAGATAATGATTCTGTATTTCTAATAAAAAAAATAAAAGGATAAAAGTTATCGTTTGTAATATAAAATATAGGATAGAGATTATCGTTTTAAATAATGCATTATGTTGTATTTGAAGAAGGAGAAATATACTTTTACGTAATTTAAAATCATAAAAATCACGCATCCATGTGTGATTATCTCTTCATAGGATATATCTTCTCGTGAGTTTTTTCCAAAAGAGAAAAATCGAGTCTTTTCATTTCCGCCTCCCAGGTACATATTTATCTGTTAGATGAAGTGTTGACTCAACGAAAGGAACATGCGTGCTCGAGTCTCGCGAGTCCAACGTCATCGCCGCGCCGTGATGGCGGGACATTTTTTCTCTATTTCTTTTTTTTTTCTCGCTTCTCAATACATACTTCTGAATAATCGCGCGTGTTCGCCGATCGCCCTTAGCAAGCTTAGAAAATCGAGTGGTCGGTGTACGCGACAGCATACTCAGCGCTAAACCTGGCAGCCGTATAGCTCGCAGAGAAAGGCGGCCACCCACCGGCTTACACAACTCTTTGCTCCAGTTATTAGTATGTGACTCTTTTGCTGGTCGGGCGACCTGACGAACCGTGGCGTGCGACAGGACTGTCGGGTTCCCGTTTCTCTTTCTCTCTTTCTCAAAGACACGCGATGGCTAAATTATGGCACCCGCGGACAAAACCACGCCGCGATCCTCGGCTCGGCTTTACGCGCTTTCGAAGCTCTTACGCTCCCAAGGTTGTTACGCTTACCGGTTGCAACCGTCGCGCGAGCGAGCGATCGAAAGCGAGGCATTTGCATGAAAGGCCGCGTTTCGTTAATTTGCCGCGAAGACAGATACGAACGTTCGTTTTCTCAAAGTCCCATCGCGATAAATCAATCAAGCAATCTACGTATACAATAACGTTACGAATCCATTATCGTTTCTATTTATATCGTAAAATATCTATTTATGCGTATTATATCGCGATTAAAAAGCGAGTTCTCACTATCCTTGTTTGGTCAGTTTTTGTAAAAATTATTTGAAAAAGTATTGCGGTGATATTAAATAACTTATAATGTTAGATTAGATTAGATTAATGTCATAATCTTGCTCGTTAAACTGCGATTTATTAACGATAATGCCGTCTCAATAACGAGATTGTTACTCGTCGTAGAACCTGTTCTAGAAAATAATTTAAAGCAACGACGGATCCTTGAACGACTTGCTCGATTGTGATCGGAATGATCTACAATGGTGGGTATTACGCCACTGCGTGCCTGCCTACCGCACGTTTCCGGTTAGCATGAGATTGTCAGTTACGCATAACGTCCCTTTCGAAAGAACTCAATTCTCCATCTTGTCGGCTCGTTAATTTAAACTTTTAATAATATAAGGAGAAACAAGACTAATGAGAGTACAATGCAGTTAACGGTGTGCAAAAAAACAATGTAAAAACTTATACTTCTTTAATCCAAGAAGAAAATCACATCATATACTGGGAAAAGAGTCTCTTGTGTTAATTGGAATTCTGATTGAAAATAGACAAGTCGCAGAATTTTCTGAGTCAATTTATTATAATTCTAGTTTAGATAATCAGAATTTTGATTGATATGATTAGAATCTTTTGGTTCGTTCATTTTCAAGCGATCAGATAACGATTTTCACAACATTGTCAGCGATCACATACAGCGATTGTATCACATTCCCCCTCAGTCCAATCAGAATAAGTCACTACAGATTGCCAAATCTGAAATGGCATCCAATGAAATCGAGAGCATGGAAACTTCGAATTTTGAATATGCAATTGAATGCAGTAAACTTTTAATATGCAAAGAGAATCGATTTGTCGCTCGTGGATTAATCGCAGATTCAGCGGTCCACGAGAGAAACCGGAAAATGCATTTACGAGCATAATCATCATTCTTCCCAGGAACTTGCGAAATACATTCGTTGGCGTTTACTTCCATACTCCGGGTTCGCGATGATCTACGGCACTCTAACGTGGATCACAACGTTGGGCAACCAACTCGCGATATGTTACGCTGTTATGTAAGAACGTAATTGCTGTCTATTTGAAAGTGTAAAATATTATAAGGTTGTTTTACGAGCAAATCCGAGGAAAGTCGATGGACTTTCCTTATAGATACGCATCAGGTAAGTTCGAATCCGCGAATGATGCCTGGGAATTTTCACGGGAGGAATTTTCACAACAGAGTCTTTTATGAAAATTTAATGCACGGTAAGGAAGATTTTGCTGAAGTGTCTAAAAATTTAGCTAGATACAGATCTAAAAATAATTTTATTAAAATAATACGAAA